TCTCTTGTGATTTCAAGGAAAACCATTCCTATTACTTTGATACAGAATTGTATTACGTGATTTTAATGTGTGTGTACTCACAGAAGGTAGATTAAAGAAATTAAATAATCCAATTAATCATATTCTGGAATGCAAATGTCTGGTTTTTAGTAAAGAAATTTAAGCTTTGATGTGAGGTATTGTTGCATTTTTAGATGGCTTCAATGTGAGACTGTTGATCCTTGATACTAAGTTTTTACATCATTCTACTGCATTTTGAAATAGCTGCCATTTTTGTCACAAAGCAGGCCTTAATCAGTGATTTGCTTTATGTATTTAATGTTGTGTAAATACTGTGGTAAAATTCAAACTGCTTATCACACTCATTTTGTTCTTAGATATGTGGGCAATGTAGGCCTAATGAAGCAGAGAAAATACTAATTTCCTGGGCCAACCTTCAGAAGTTTGTTCCAAAAATGTGCAGTCCCACGTCATGCAATTGTTCATATTACTTCTGATCAGTCTCTATTGATCTCTTAACGGACTTGAAGAACCCCCTTACTAGTGAAAACTAGGAGTGGTTAACCTCAGTCCAAGGGAATTTACAGTACAAATTATCATGCCATTAATTTTATACAAGCCATTGTAAACTATATTTCTCAAGTAGAATTGAGTAGAATGACCTAGGATATTCTGCTGGGTGAGACATTTTTTTAAGTTGGTTGAATCTGAATGTATGGTTTTTCTGAGCTTTCCTGCTTCACGCAGCTGCTCTATTTTCCAGACATACCTACGTACCTCTGTGACCAAGAGCATTGAGTCTTTCACCCACTGAGGTTGAATTCTCCCCTTCACACTGGTGGACCATACCAGTCAGTTGTCAGTCTTGAGTTCAGTGCTGTTAAGGAAACTGGGGCAGACTGCAGGGGGGAATTGGGAAGAAAAGCCAGGCCCAGAGAGTTTGGTTTGGCTTATGCTTAGATAAGTAATGAGTGAAAATCTGTCATCTTAAGAATAGGCTGAGATCTGTATGGTCTTCAAAATCTATGTATGCAGGAAGTGAAAATGTGTCTATTTCCAGGTTTTGAGTTGTTTAAACAGTGTCACAAACACTAATAGCAAGCCTATTCTTTTCCTATTATAAAGTGTAAACTGAATGATAAGGAGTTTCACTGCAGCCTAGAGATGAGATTAGTAATAGTCCATAATAATTTTATGTAGGCCTACATCAGCGAAATTTGTAAAGTTTTGCAGTTTTAAGAGGGATATTAAAATAAATGATTCATCTGCTGTTTTCAGTCATATGAAAGCATAAAATCTTACACGCAGTAAAGTTAGCATGAATTCCTTGTAACTATTATATGTTGGTACTGCCTGTTTATAGTGGTGTCCTGTAAATTTGAAGTCTTATCCTGAAGACTTTACTTGGGGCAGTTAATTTGATGTAACTAATGAGACTGGATTGGTCTAATTCTTAGCTATAGAAAAGCAAGAGGCTAAATTTTGCAGGAAGTGTGCAGCAGGGAGTGAAATTTACAGAAGCTGTTAATGCTAAAACAGTGCTGCCTTTAGTAGCATTTTGGGAATGAGATAAAGCAATGCTCTAAGACTGACCTGTTGCAGCCTGCTCTGGAGGTGACAAAAGGGAGAAGAGTGATGGGGTCATTCCTGCTCACTGAATATGATAACACCATGGAGCTGTAGAGCTTCCTAGCTTGTCATGGATTTTTGTATGATGCTGAGAGGAAGATGGATAATAACATGGTTTCATAGTCCATCTTCAAAAAAAAATTTACCCATATCCATTTAGCAGAGAAACTCTAGCCATGTAAAACCCTGTTAAAAGAGAAGATAAAATTTCTAACAGTAAAACTGTGCATGGGAAGCAATAAGTTTGCTTAAATACAATAACAGAAACACCAAGAGTCCTTTAAAGCTCAGAAAGCAAATGCATACAGCATAATCATCTAAAGTCTTCATGCGTTCCTGCTTTAAACTGTCAGTGAAACACGTATGTATGCATATATGGGGACATCTAGACCCCAAAGAACTAAGGTTCTCGAACCCTAGGAGAAACAAATTGTTCTCATAGAATCGCCTGGGTTGAAAAGGACCACAATGATCACCTAGTTTCAACCCCCTGCTATGCACAGGGTCACCAACCAGCAGCTCAGGTTGCCCAGAGCCACATCCAGCCTGGCCTTGAATGCCTCCAGGGATGGGGCATCCACAGCCTCCTTGGGCAACCTGTTCCAGTGTGACACCACCCTCTGAGTGAAAAACTTCCTGCTAATATCTAACCTAAACCTCCACTGTCTCAGTTTAAGGCCATTCCCCTTGTCCTATCACTGTCCGCCCTTGTAAACAGCCGTTCCCCCTCCTGTTTATGTGCTCCCTTCAAGTACTGGAAGGACACAGTGAGGTCTCCCTGCAGCTTTCTCTTCTCTGAACTAAACAAGCCCAGTTCCCTCAACCTTTCCTCGTAGGAGAGGTGCTCCAGCCCTCTGATCATCTTAGTGGCCCTCCTCTGGACCCACTCCAAGAGCTCTGCATCTTTCTTGTGCTGGGGCCCCATGCCTGGATGCAGTACTCCAGATGGGGCTTCACGAAAGCCTAGTAGAGGGGGATAATCACCTCCCTCTCCCTGTTGGCCAGCCCTTTTTTAATGCAGCCCAGAACACAGTTGGCCTTCCGGGCTGCAAGCGCACACTGCTGGCTCATGTCCAGCTTCTCACCCACCAGGACCCCTAAGTCCTTTTCCACAGGGCTGCTCTCAAGGAGCTCTTCCCCCAGTTTGTATAAATACCTAGGATTGCCCCAACCCAAGTGCAGCACCTTGCACTTGGCCTTGTTGACCCTCATTAGGTTTTCATGGGCTCGCTTCTCCAGCCTGTCCAGGTCCCTCTGGATGACTGTACTTTCATTAATGTGTAGCTTTAACAATAGGTTTTAATTAAACATCACAACAGGCAATAAAACAGAACTCACGATTGAATACAACTGATAGCATTCAAAAGAAGTACAACATGAAGGTAATTCTGAGTCAGGAAAAATTTGAAACTCTCTGGAATGATTTATGGGGCAAGCGAGAAGGTGGCAGAACTTAATGATTTCTTTTCTGTGTGCTGCCAAGATTCAAGCACATATTTGAACGTGAATTCTTGAATTACAGAAGAGGACACGCGTTACCAGAGTCAGTAATTTGGGGCTGTATGCTTGTATTTTTAGGTTGTAGATTCTCGTGTGTTATGCTTATATAGAGCTGGATTTTCAAACACCTCAAACTCTTACTGTCTGATTTTCAGTACCTGAAGTGTTAGCAATCTTGCGTTTTTCTCATTCAGTTGGTTTCATTTCTGGTGTAGAACAAGCTGATACAGCTTCAGGGCTTTCACCCTGTACAATTTATCCAGTTGTAGGCCAAACTTCAGACTGAAATGTTCACAAATCTCAAGGACATGGCAGAGTTGTGCTCATTAGCTAGCATGACCACGCAATTTTAATTTTTACATTTAATATATATGTTTAAAATACAGTGGAACAATGTATATCTGTAGAAACTGACCAGTGAGGAACTGAAATGTAGAAGATGAATTTCTTGTATAAGGAAAAAAAACCCTAATGGAAGTACCATAATTGCTTTCCTTTCTAAATTGGAATCTATTATAGCATTGTATCTTTTCAATATATCAGATAATAATCATTATTTATATGTCAAGTGGAAACATTTCCAGTTTCAGGTCAAGAGATTGATTTAATTCTGTACACATCTTTGCATGTTCCTGGGAAATTTTACCTTACTCTATTGACCATTTTGCCTATACTGAAAATGTTTTTAAAACAAAGGATGGGTTAGGCTGTCAGTTTCATAGGCCTGTAAATCCTATTGGAATTTAATGTCCTTTTTTAAATTTCATCTCCCTTCTTTTGAAAATTGTATCCCTATTTTAGAAAAATTTGTAATTTTTAATTTAAAAATATTAAATTATCATGTCCTAATGTAAAAAATTGAGTCCAGGGCAATCATTTTCATTATGGAGCATTAGAGGGAACTTGCTGCATTCTGAGTTTCTTTGCTGAAGCAGAGTTTAAAAAAAAAATGATACTTGAGTACCATATGCATAGTAGTTCTTTAAAATGTATGCATTATGTTAGAAATCCTCCATTTCATTTCTGTTTGTTTGAAACACCTCTTCCCTTCTCACGATGCAACTCTTATCGGTACTTTATTTCACTGATTTATTAAAATTTTTCTAGTTTTGTTTCCTGAGAGAAACCTAGAAATGCAAATTGCAACAAAGAGCTTGTATGAATGTCTACTTTAGAATAGTGGGAAAAATATAGGCATATTTTCAAATTTAATTAGCACTGTGAGATATAAGGGGTGTTTAACGTCAGCTCAGCTGATGTTTGGACAATAGATTTTTAAGTAATCTTAAATCCCACTAGCCCACCTTTGTATTTGAATCATCTTATTTGTCTGACTTGCCTTAATTACATCACAATATGCTGTCATTCTTACTTTAGTGCTATGAAGAGGCACAATGATTTTGATAAATAACAAGCAGCAGGCACTTAAGAACGAAGCATTGGTCAGTTAAGTCATCCATTATTCTGGCTGTCTAAATCTGTACTGATACAGTTATTGCAGTATGAAATCTCATTCTATCCAGCAATTTGGATAGTTTGCAACATAAATTATAAATGTCTCTACTTGCTTTAAAATTGTATGTTTATCTCTCCTTTTTTTTTTTTTTTTTTTTTTTGTCTGGAATAAACACATCAGTGGTACTTGTGAGCAGCTCAGAGAAACAGCCAGGTTGTTTTTCAATTCTTTTAAATTGCTGTTTTCTTATTAGAAACATGACTTAAATCAGGTTATTCACGGCTTCCTATAACTTTGAAGTTAACCATGCTTTTAAGAAGAGGTTACACTAGATGAGCTCTTTATATTCCGTCTGTTCTAAATTTTCAAAATGCTTGTGAATGAGATTATGACTATTCTTTTTTCTTTCTGAAAGGAAGATACCAAGTGATTGAAGGCATAATGTCTCCTGTCAGTGATGACTACAGAAAGAAAGGCTTGGTTTCAGCAAGGCATCGGATAGCAATGGCCAAACTAGCACTGGAGACATCTGACTGGATTCGAGTTGATCCATGGGAGACTGAGCAAGAGTCCTGGACAGAGACAGTAAAAGTGTTAAGGTAATTGAACTGTTTTTTCTTTTGTTATGAATGTACTGACTGCCAGAAATCTGTCAGGCTGTCAGATCAATGCATGGAATTTGCTCATATAAAACATCCAAGCAAAGCAGAACATGTCTGTTTATGGTATCGCCTCTTAGGAGGTGGCAGTGAAAAATTCATGTCACTTTCCTTCAGAAGGGATGTCCTAATCATTATTTCCCCATTTTGAATCTTTCATTTCCTAGAGCAAAGCAGATAGGCTTTGCCCAGACCAGCATGATACCCCCAAGTACTGCTCTTTGGCTGCCTAAGTCAGTAGATGCTGTGTTGAAAGCCTTTGACAAGAATGGGCCCTGCAAAACTGCGGTTATTTGAAAGGGTTCAGCATGCAGAGTGCTTGGCTCTCATGTTACTTCTGTAGTTTTTAATTCTCTAACTAGGTAATAGAAAGATCTTAATCCAAAATTACATGAGTTTACAAACAGATCTACTAAGAACTCTAATTGTAGGTTAGCTGTCTTGGCAATATTATACCTACAGGTTTATCAGTTCACACTTAATTAAAATTTCTTATCAACTCTAATGTCATGTTAAACCCAAGTCCAACTCTTCAAAATGACTGAGTTTGCTGTTACTGTGCTAGAAGGAAAAATGAAGGAATTTGTCTGAAACCTGCTTTGAAAGGTACTTTTTTCCCTATAAGCTTTATCTTGATAACACATGCAATATGGGGCAAGGTAGAAAAACAAACCTCCTTTGTTGACTGCCTTTGGAAACATGTGTACTATGAAAGTCTACAGGTACTGTGAAAGTAAAAGACTTCAAGAAAGCATTCTTCAGGAAAGCAAGTGTGCTTTAAGAAGTGTTAATTAAAAGAAAAAATTAAAAATAAAGTTCTCGTTCCTGCCCACACTTTCTACCTTACTTTCTAACTGGAAACAGTGAAAACAGATCTTATTCCAGGGACAAAGTTCAGTTGTTAGAGTTAGGGGAGTATGGTCAGGTTGCGGTTGGACTCGATGATCTTCAAGGTCTTTTCCAACCTGATCCATTCTATGATTTTCTAATTAGGGAAGCAGTACGTTAATGAAATGGCACGGGTAAGTGATTGGCTCTTACGTTGTTACTGTCACACTTTATAGTTTCTTAAAATGCCTTCTGTTACCACTGTTTTGAATTGTACGCTTCAGCAGAACTTTGTGTCCTGAAAGGTAGTCATGAATGACCTCTTCCTACAGTATTATTTCTGAAGGTGATGAAATTGTCACATTCCATCAAGATCTTTGGACTTTGCAGAGACTAACAAATAGTTCTGTCACGAAAGAGTTTGAAGCACCAGAGCTGTATCCCGCCTGTGGAAGCGTCATTAGTTGCCTGTTACTTTAAGTGAGCATGAAAATTTTGGAGGCTATCCCAAGGCTGTTTTTTTCTTAAAACAAAAAGAGGTAGCATGATAGAGCTGCCATGGCTGAATATTCCTAGGCAAGAAAGCCTATTTTTAATATCCAAAGAATTACACTCATTCCTCTTGTAGTGTAAATGTAATTGCAGTAAAGATAGACATTTTTAAATTCCAAATTAATTCATAGTATGTCTTGCCCAACAAGTTCTGCTGAGTTGTGCTTGTGATTTAATTATATAGAAATTGAAAGCTTCATACAGACTTCAGAAAATGCTTGATAAACTGACAGATTGGCTTGTCCTTTTTGATATCTCTTTCAAATAACATAATCCTCCCCACCTCAGCATTTGAAACGCCTGCTGAACAGACCTTTTGGCAGTTAAGATTTTGCATTGCTTGTGCTGTGAGTCCTGCAGTGAGTTCTTTGCCAAAAAATCTTGGTTTTGAATCGAGGCCCAAGAATGTCAATCCATGATATGAAGTTAGTGTACTTGACTATACATAGCATCAGCCTGTTTACACGAAGGCAGGATTAAAAATAGAAATGTAGGAAGGCTCAGGCCAAGCTACTGCTACCTACTGTCTCCTGCCATATGTCCCACACCCCTTGTCTATTCAATTCCCTTAGCCAATGGCTGAGCAACAAAAATGACTGCAGATAATTATGCAGCCTGGCTAGCTGCATATTCTTGGCATTCATGCAAATTATTACTGTGGCTCCAAGTGTGATTTGAAGAGTGTACACTTAAAATCACTAAATTAATTCCTTAGGCCGGGCATTCAAAAATTAATATGTATTTGTACACATCTGAATTTGGACTGAGTTAAGGACAGAGCTGTACTCTATAGCCCACAAGCTTTGCTGTGATACAGCTGTGTAAGACCTCACAGTCACTCTGGATGTGTAAATACCAGGCAGACATGAGTCCTTGGCTGTGCCAATTAATGTGAGCATTACATAAGCATGGCTTATGACAGTGCAAGCCAGGGTCTGTTTTACACGGGCAAAGCTATGCTGATTTGAAGGAAGAGAGTGGAGATGTATGGATATAAAATTGGTGCTTACCCTAAGAATGTAAGAAGGAGCCACTACCACAAGGTGATAGTACACAGAGGGACACCAAGGATTTGGAGCAGCCAAAGAGTAAAGTACGTGAAACTTGGAGAAACTAATGAAAGGATCCTTGTGAACCTGAATTCAGTGAATTAAGAAGCATACTAAGTGTGCAAAAATCTTATGAGAGAACTGTGTAATTTGAGTTTATTTGAATTGTGATTAATTTAAAGCATACGGTTGAAACTCAGGAAATGTATTTTTGTGGAGAAGAGGATGAGAGAACAGTATTTCCTTCTGAACACTTTTAAAGAGCATGCATTACAGAAACACTGTATCTGAGGAGTTGTATTTAATAAATTAAGTGCAGTATTTTAATGTGTTTTCAACAAAAACCTACACAGTCTTTTAGATTCAGTGTTGCTATAAAAATTTCCATAAGGATAGAATTTCAAAAACAAACTGAAAACCAGAATGTCATTACATAGATTGCTCATGGATTGTGCGAAGTTTAACTACACTTCTACTAATCTCATGGTAGAATGAATATAGTGATTTTTTTTAACAAATTGTATTCAAATCCGAAGTGCATAAAAGCAGACTGTGTTCTTGAATCTGAAAGTGCCAGGTAATCGCTTTGTGCATCTCTGAGAGGATTATCTCACACAGAAGCCTTTATTTTTCATGCAGGCACCATTACAATGAGTCAGTCAGACTGCTCCAGTCCAAGAAGGAATTCATGAAAAACAAACAGCCCACAGAAAGATCTACAGAGAATTTCCTTTCTTCTCAGTGCTCAGGTTGGTTCATAAATGTAAGCACAAGGTAGTTTAGCGTTAAAACAATGTAACTGAATGTTGAAATTTAACGTGGTAGCTGGAAAGTTCTAATGGTTGGGGTGGTTGGGGCTACCAGCCAAGAACAAGCTATGCCAGCATGACTGCTTGTGTTGTTACTTTGTAGTAAATGCCACACAATAAGGAGATTTCCACAACTCTTCCCCAACAAGAAGATTTATTTGGGGTTTGTATTAAGTTTTGGTTTTATAAGCATCTCTTTAGCTGTGTCAGATGTATGCTGTGACCCTGCTGTTTTGCAATATAGAGTATATTAATAAAGAACATTGATATAGCAATTACAATTATAAATAATCCCTATACAGTTTACTAAGTATATGGCTGTAATATCAGTGATCCTAATGCACTGATTTTATTTCTTTTGTTTTCTTAACTACATTTCTAGATAGAAAGGCTTTGCTGACATTAGACTTGTGACAGATCCTGTAAAGTCAGCTTTGGCTTTCTTATTTTATCTGGTTCCCTAACTTAAAGTATGGGTGGATCTCTGATATTTTAAACTACTCCTTTAGTCTTGTAACACTTGGACTTGAATAATCTATTTGTTATTTGTGGTTACATTTAAGTTTTCAAAGTATGGGCTGCTGTAGCATTAGAGATGGAAGAGAGAAAGCCTGTGGTGTTTAGGCAGCAGCTGAATCTTGCCTGATGGAATTATTGTTGACAAGCACAAGTCACATTTTTTCTCCTTACCACACTGAGGAAAATTACTGTAAAAGTACGTAAGACTATTTTGATTCTCCATTATGTAAAATTTCTGGGTATTATTTTCTTTAGCTTTTTGAGTTTTGTAGCATTTTCTGTTTAAAAAAAAAAAAAAACCTACAAAGTTCAAACTGGTCTGTCTTTCCTGTTACGTTTCTTGGTTTAGAATCAATCAGTCATCACCATAGTTTGTTTGTTTGTTTGTTTGTTTTTTGTTTGTTTTGTTTTTTTTTTCCTAAAGTCAAAAACAAAAGGTACAGCAAAAGACAGCAAAAGCTAGGTGAAAAGAAGGACTGGCAAGCAATAGATCTCCCTGTCTAGAGCACAGTGCCTGGATTTTCTTCTATTTGTATTCTACCTGACAGCTATTTCCAGAGAACAATCTGTTAGTGTGAACAGAAAGAAGTCCAGCAACCTGTTACTTCTTTCCTTTTCTGCCTGCAGCACTTTGTCAGACTGAGCCACAATATGGGCTTGGTTATATTAAACACCACTGAAAAGGGATGGAACATTTTCTCCACTTTCTCTAGTTGCATGCAATGGGCTGGAGCACTGAAAACTCCAGAATGGGGTAGAGTTTCTTCTTTCTCAAAAATGTGTTGGTTAGCACAGACTTTCTAATGGCAAGCAACTGTCACTCAGTTTCCCTCCATCACAAAAACTGCCCTATAACACCATGTGAGGGATCAATGAAATCTATTGAATCAGGCTTTTCTCTGGAGTTTGTAGAAAGATTCTCCTATATAAATGAAGCTTTTGTGAAGATCAGGTTGAATTTGATGGTGCAAAATTCCATGACATACTATTTTTCTACTAAATGTTTTCTTGCTGAACTACAAGATTCCCTTGTATGGTGCTGACTCATGATTTTTTTTCCACATACAAAAATCAGGTAATTTTATTATATATTGCAAATAAAAAGGTTCATTAAGGACATGTATAGAACATTTATGATGGCTTTTTAAATTTAGAGTAATATATTGATGCTGTCTATTCAGAACAAAGATGAAATAGAGAGGACTTGGATTTTTTTTTTCATTTTATTTTTCAATATCTGAGCTCTAAATATCAGAAACAGCTAAAACTAGTTTCTTCTAGTTATTCCTGTATGCTGTGATAGCCTGTAGTGCCTACAGTACCCTGGAAAAGTCCCCAGAGAGCTCAGGCTTCACCTCTGTTCTGAAAATTTTGTTATGGGAGCATGGAATGTGGATAGCCTTACTGAAGGAATTAGGTGTTAGATGTCCATATCTTCACTTGAGTGTTCAGTGTTTGTTTTTGTTCAAAAGTAGCATACTAAGTAGTGTAAGCAATGGCTAAGCAATTCAAATGAAACCACTGTATTACAAATTGCTTTGAATGGACTTCATATATAAATATATCTACTGTTCGTTAAAAGCTTCTCTTAGCTCTTCATATGTTGCTCTGGTAAGATTTGCTATTCCTCCTTGATTCATGAAGTATAGCTTTGCGTGCAATATTTATTTTCCTACTTACAAGAGATGGTTAACTGTCTTTCTTTCATTTAATATTGATTTCTCTGCACCTCAAGTCTTGGTTCACATGGCCAGCTTTGCTGTCACCTTTCAAATGATTTTCCCTGGTGCAATCCAAGTGCAGTTGTCCTTCATCAGACCTTGCTCCTTAAGTCCGGATACTTTGAATTTTTTCCACTTCAACTTACATCCTCCTTTCCCCTGTACAACACTGCCCACCATTCTTGATTGAGCTATGCTGATAAAGAGAAAACAGCAAAAATTTTCCTGATTTAAGACATGCCATATCCTGAAATTAAGGCTATAGTACTTTTCTAAAAAGAAATGAAGAGCAGCTATTTGGTTTTTTTCCCAGATTGTGGAAGCTGCAAATCATTACTTAGCGAAGTGTCCTTAAAGGGCCAAAGACACATTCTTGTTGGCACAGATGTGGAAATTTTTTTTGTAGAGCTTAAAATCTCTTAGTTTCTAGTTTATATAGAGCTTTTCCTTTTGAATTTCTACATTGGATTGAATCTACTGTTGAATGAATCCTATCATTTTCTGATCATTCATCAGCTATTGGAAGTATGGACATTATTTTGGAGTTTCCCTTGTTGCCTGGTCTTTTGTGCCAAAATCATTCTCACATTTTGTTTGTTCCTTGCCCTTTTCAGATTGGTTGAGTAGAGGAACTATGTTTCCCTTTAGTGCAGCTTTGAGTGATGAAGTAGGTATGGTAATTAATTGTGACCAGACACATAAAACCCAAGCTAAATCATTCCTGTAGCCTTTTGAAGGAAAATTGTTGTAAAAGATAAATATTTGATATTAAAACAATTGTAAGTATAATGTTCCTAATCTTCCAATAAAACTGAGCAAGTATAAAAATCCCTTTTTTCTTTTTGTTTGTCTTTCTAGTTGTACCAGAACTAAAGCTGCTCTGTGGGGCTGATTTTCTACAGACGTTTCAGACACCCAATCTCTGGAAGAAAGAGCACATCCAAGAAATCTTAGAAGAGTTTGGTTTGGTCTGTATAAGCCGTGCTGGCTCTGATCCTGCTCAGTATATCTATGAATCAGAACTTCTAACGAAATTTCAGCACAATATCTTTCTAGTGAAAGAATGGATTCAGAATGAAATCAGTTCAACACAGATACGCTATGCCTTGTGCAGAGGATTAAGTGTAAAGTACCTCATACCAGATTCTGTTATAGCCTACATTGCTTACCATAATATCTACACAGAAGAAAGTGAAAGGAAGAATGAAGGTGACTTGCTTCAGCCTCTGAAGTTGCATAATACAGCGGTAAGCCCGCTAAATGACAGGTCCCATAGTTTGTGAAATGGACGGACGTGGCTTTTTCTTCATGAGAAGCTCCTGAAAGATGTTTCTTCTTGATAAGGGGAAAATATCAGCCCAAAACTTCCTGAGTTTATGGTGTTGTGGTTTTTTTTTTTTTTTTTTTTTGCATGCTGTAGTGCTTCATAAAATCAGCACAGTCAGCTGTCAGTCGAATACAAAAAAACAGAAATAAGGTTTTAGCAATAAATAATAATCTTCAGTAATATTTAAAGGTTGAACATAGTACTTTCCATATTTGGAATTCCTTAATCCTATGGACAGTTTAAGGATGGAGATGTTCTATTGTTCTGAAGCAGCAAATTGAAATGAACAGTAACTTCCCTATTTTTCTTAAAAATAAAAACACTCCTAAATGTTGACTTCTTAGGACCCCAAATAATTTCTGTTTCTAAAGGGTGTAAGGTAAGCTCCAAGTGATTTTTTTCTGGCAGATAGGAGAAGCTGAAATATTAATTTTGAAAATTAATGCACCATTCATATCAGTTTTAAGCCTCCTGATTTACAAATGAAAGACGGTCTCTGTCTCACTATGTGAAGTGGATTTCTTTGTTTCTCTGATCCGGAGTCTATAGCATGTTATCTATTCCAGAGCCTTGTTGACCACGTGCCCTAGAGGACTGTGGAACATTAGCCCACTTTTTAAACAGTAAAAAAAAAAAAAAAGAAAGTTACTGATGTTCTTGGTCACATTGTGAGGTAAATCAAAATGTAGTTGTTTTCCATTGATAAATGTAATGCTTTCTTGCTGTATTTTGGATGTATAGCAATGCAAAATAAAAGGAAAAACGTAAAACCTCTGAAAAACAACAAAAGCAAAACACCAAAAGCTAGAAACGGCCATTTTCCCAAGTAATATTAAAATGCATCCAATTTTTCATAGATCAGTCAAGTTCAAATTTGTGTCATATAAAACATGTAACTTGTCTTTTCCTATAGGTGACTTCACTTTTGAATGATATGGAAACATATTACCAAACAAAAGAAAACAAAACATTTCTTGTTCTAGTTTAAATATAAACCTAAGTTACAATAAATAATTATTTTCAAAAATGTTACTTGGTCTAGGTACATCTCTTTGTAAAGAAAACCATTAATTCAGCATAATGTTTTAGTAAACAAGTAAAAGGGAAAAGAATACAGGTCTTGTGCCAAAACAGACAACTACTTTAATAATGGCATGGAGCTGAACCTGTACTATTTGAAAAGATGCGATAGTCTCCTAGGTATTTCATGTTTTCTTTCTTAGTATTTGAATGCAAATGCTAGCCAGACAAATCCATTCTCTTGCAGGTAGGTTGCATAATTTGATTCTGTCTCACTCACTTTTAACAGGATGCCTTCAGCTATCCTGTGAGTTAACAGCAAGCTCTGGAGAATTGCTCTACCTTTGATTTTTCTTACCCTCAGGAAAAAGGAAGGAAAACAGGCAAAAACCTGACTGTAGGCCTCACGTAGCTTCTTGTTTTACTGCTTAAACAGGACTGCATAAAACTACGATATACCAGAAGAGAAGATTCAACAGATGTGAAAAACTAGCTACTCTCTGAAAGAGTAGCTGCTACTACTTCACACTGAGTGCTAGCATTTGACATTTCCTATAGTGCCACTAAAATGCAAATTGTTTTCTAACCTAAGAGTACACATTTGGCTCAGAATTAATAAAATGTAGGTTAGTATGTTTGGAAAGTATCATACCTTTGCACTGCTGAAATCAGCCTACGGATTTTAAGGACTTTTGGTCTAATGTACTGGAACTACTTAGATATTATCCCTTTGAAATAAGGAACTCTGCTCATGTAGGATTTCTCTGTACTGGATAAAGATGTAAACACGGGGGCATACACAGCTTGGTTTAAGGCATCTTATTTGTGGAAGGGAAATTCTTTCAGTGTGTACTTCAGGTTATTCAAGTCAGGCTCTCATGCCAGTCTTGGACAAGCCCTCCTTTCTTCCATTGGTTCTACAAGGACATTAGCTTTCTAATCTCAGCATCTACAATGGCTATCTATGTTTGGTAAGTCTGTGTTTTGGAAGTGAATTTTAAAAGATGGCAAAGGAGGAAGTTTGTTGTCCTTAAATAATTGCTTGCCCAATCCATACTCTGGGATTGTGCAAAAATCAGATAATGTAGCTCAGTAATAGTAAGATACTCCATCTTTATAGTTGAAATTACTTTTCTAAATCATAAGATGTGTAATGAAGTGATGTATGGGGGCTAAAGCACCCTAAAACAATACAGTATAGTTAGTATTTTGGAATGCACGATAGTTGTATCTACCAGCATGACAGTCGTTCAGCTCCCTGCAGAAAGGTATCTTATGTGGGACTAATTGAACTGAATAGAAGTTGTGTGCTCTTAGTCTGAATTCTCAAAGTGTTTCCCCTTACAATACAATTATCAGTACCCTTTCCCTGAAGTAGCTCCGCAGGGAGAAAAGCTGAGTTATAAGATAGTTGTTGCATATCAATGTCAGATAAGATGTTAGGTTGTGCTTCTATCTCTTCTTTTCAGCAAGAAAGAGGGTTGCTTACTGCAAAGTGAATAGAGATCTTCAGACTTCCAAACTTAAAAGGGAGTAAGAAGACAGCCTAATTTCTTCTGTACTTTTGTGTTTGTACACAAAGTTAAAGCAATAATGCTTTGAGTCTGCTATAAAGCAAATGTTCTCTTGCTTCCTGCAGGTCATGTTAGTTAGGTACCTTTATATTGCCAAGGCAGATTTCTGTTACATGACAGGTGCTTTCTGCTAAAATCCCAAACCTGTGGTGTTTCAGTATATCTTTGTAGATAAGAATTTTCTCTCTAGCCTATCTGTATTTGTTGCTTAAGTATGTCTTATATTATTTGACTCTTTAACTTTTGGAAGCACTGGATGCAATATACAAGTAATTTGGTAATTTGTTTGATTTTTTTTGCTTCAAAATTGGTGACTGCTCTTTTCCTTATGTTATCCTTATGTAGTGGAAATGCTAAGTCAGGGCCTGAAACAAGGATTGAGCACCTGAAATGGAAGGCAGGTGCATGCTATGTACCTGAGTGACCAGAAGAGTGGAGCCAGGATCCAACCCTTTCCTGACCTCACTTAAGGGTTGGTAGTAGAGGTGAGGGCATTTCTTGCCAGAGGTCCCTGCCTACCTGAGGCTTTCCAAAGGTCAGCAGCTCTTTTCCTTCATTTCTGCATTTGCAGCTGCTGCACTTGGGCTTACTGTCATTTGCTGCAGTCAAAGACTTTGCCACCCTGCTATAGTCATGGTACTTTCCATCCCATTATAGCATTACACCTTAAAACACAATGCTATTTTTTAGCCTTAAGGATTTCTTGTTTTCAATCACTTAGTAGTATTATTAAATATATATATACACTGTTGTTATTTATTTAGGAAACAAATTACTGCTGTAAAGGCAAATGAGAAGTTAATGTCTATGAAATGCTGCTTCTTTGCTCCAGTGTTGCTTAAATTAACTGAAAGTGCACATTTGTTTGTGATGCAGTATTTATTCATGTATGGAACAAACCACTGCTGCTTATGTCTAAATGCCCCTTTTTGAGTCCTCAGCTGCCCAAACACCTCAACAGGCATAATTAAGGAGCTCATGGAATAAGTTAATGCAGACACAAATTGCTGTATGAGAGGTCTGTAGGCCTTCTTTTCCATAAAGAAGGCATAAAATAAATGGATGTACTCAAGGAAGTAAGATATTCCCTCAAAAAAAGCACACAAGTTGTACACTTGTGTAGCCTTAGTTAATAACCTAAAGCCATTTAAAGGATCTTATTTCTTAGTGGGTACAAAAGAAGAGTTGTTATGGTTAAAATGAATTTCCAGATAATCAGTAGCTTTACAGAAGTTACGGGGAAGATGAATGTTTTATTCTGTTTAAATCAAGTCATCCTGCTGTCAGTAGAAATCTCAGAGGTTCAGCCTTGTGGAAGGATTTAAAGGCAACACTTCAGCAGTAATCGGATTAGAAGGACTTGCATAGCTACGTGGTCTAAAAACCAGATAAAAGAAACCAGAGTTCAGATTTGCCACAAAGAAAGGCAGTGAGCTGTAAAGTGCAGAACCTGAGGCTGATTTTGACAATTACCTGAAGTAGGGATGCCTGCAGATTTCAATGGTTACTGGAAAATGATCAGCAATGACAATTTTGAGGAGTATCTCAAAGCACTGGGTAAGGTTCCCTTCATGTTTCTTTAATAAGTGATCAATAAATGCAGACTATCTTAATCTTCTCATGAATCCGTTCTACTTGTACGGCCATAAAGCATTTTTGTGAGAAACAATTTCTTCAGGAACTAAGAATTTCTGTGTGCAAAATTTCTTAAGCAATCCACTTTTAACATCACAGAGTTTCCATGTGTAGTGACTAAACTACATAGCTGAAAGAGGTAAGTGGCAGGCTTCAAATTTAAAGCCCAAACATAATTTGAGAGGGTGAAAGTTTTGCATGCTACAGAGATGGTAATGTACTTGGTGCAGTTTTGTGTGTTTGCATGTGATGAAGTACATAAAATGCTAGTATTCCTGTAGAAATACTAGTACCCTTATTAACTGTCAAATACAAGTAGCAAATCAAGACAAAAATGTAGGTAACAGAACTACGCTGTGGACTCTTTTTTTTTTTTTTTTAAACATGCTGGCCTGAAATATCTGGACACTTATCTTCACCTAATTTCTCCCAAGAGCTACAAGCCTCTTTTTGTGACAGGTGTTTCTGTATTAAAGTAACTCTCTTTTTCTTTTTCAGATGTAAATGTTGCTGTAAGAAAAATAGCAAACTTGCTAAAACCTGACAAAGAAATCTTTCAGAATGGCGATCATATGATTATTAAAACGCTAAGCACTTTTAGAAACTACATCATGGAATTTGATGTAGGAAAGGAGTTTGAGGAGGATTTAGCTGGGGTGGATGATCGCAAATGCATGGTAAGAATTAGAACTGTAACAACTGACAAAATAAAAACAAGGCTATTAAGGCTTTGCATAGACTACATCTATAAGCCTTTTTTTTTTTTTTTTTTTTTTGTGTGGCTATTCCTAAAATTATGTTTATACTTCTCGGTTTGAGATGTGCATGGTTTTTAGCATGCCTTTACATTAATGGAATGTAATTGTAATCAGAATCATGACAAAGTTCTAGCAATTAATGAATAATAACTTCAATTCAATGTTCTCAGTTATTCTGGAATATTTGTTAGTCTGAAAAACATCTGCAATTTTCAGAATCTCTTCACTGACAGATGCTTTAGAGTAGAAGAAATCAACTTGTTTCAGGGCCAGGTATCCTTCCCCAACTGAAACAACAGTCAGGTGCTCAAAAGCTGTTTTTCTGTGCTCGTTTCTTCCTGGGTGTATGTGGTAGAGCTGATGTGTTAATTAGCCTAACTGGAACAAATCTTCACAATCAATAAGCAAGCACTGAGGTCTCTGCATTATGAGCTCTGTTCACTTGCCAAAGAGACAATATTTTCCTTATGATTGATAAATACCCATTGTCAAGGAGAACTTAAGAATACCAAGTTCTTCAAATATATACAGCTGGATATTTTCTTTTGTATTTGAGAGCATGATGCCTGTGATATCCTACAGTGAAGATGATAAGCAAAAGAAAATTATTTCAGCAGGGAATATAGAGAAGTAATACAAAATAGAATTAATAGGTTTCCAGTCTTAGAAAGTTGTATATGTGTGCAGCATATTATTCTCTAACACTAGACTAACTTGTTTTTGCTCTGTAAATGGCAGGAAAGGGAATGACCTGGAAGAATAGGGGAAAAAAGGGCAGGTGAGCAGCAAGCAAGGTCCTTAACTAATCCCTCTGCACTCTTTGTTACAGAGGGTAAGAGCATGACAGAGTTCAGAAAAAAAAAAACTGCAGAATTGTGAAGTGTATGTGTGTAAAGGGAAGTGGCCCAATATCATATGTCTTCTGGATGGCTCTTCATCGAGATAAAGAAGTCCAGATTCACTGAGCAAATATGAACCTGAAGAAGGTCTTAGATTTTCTTGGCTAAAGCACTTTCAGAAATAGCAACGGTCACCTTATCTGCTCAATGGCTAAAAATATCCAAAGTTCCCATTGTTTAATTCAGTGAACTACTGATACACATGTGTACAGAACTATCTCCAGCTAAGCACTATTAAAGACCATTAAACTCTCAACTAAAACATCCTTTACCTGGCAGAATGCAGTAATTTTGCTAGCATGTGCCTGCAATGAGTTCCACAAACTGTATCAGACAACCACTGTGCTTCAAAAAAAAACAATTCAGAAGACATGAAAATGTGGCCCTTGCCCAGTCCTGCTTCTGAAATGGTGAATAGGTATAACATGTAGCTCTTGGTTCCCTGAAACATTTCACTACTTGTAATAGGCCTGTATTCTCTACTTGACTTTTCTAAATTGAGTAATAAGAAAGAATGTAAAATATTGAATCAGCAGGAAGAAATAAAAGACTATTCCAGTCACTTACAGCAGTTATTAGATTTGGAATAGAATCTAGTTTACTTCTAATTGTTCTTTAAAAAATGTATCTACTGGTGCTTTGTTGCAAAATCACTCAGAATTGTAAACAGGATGTATCAGCCTTGTCTTGCCTTGGAGGGAAAAAAAAAGTTGTGGTCACACTAATCCTGACAGTTAGTTTCTCTAAGTATGACTTAGGAATGCAACTTCAGAAAAGCTTTCAGAAGTCTCTGGTATCTCTTTGTGGTCTCCCACATCAGAAGATACCAACTGCAGCTCTGTAAGGTCAATCTAATCAATGCCTGTAATATATCATACATAATAGTTCAATTCTCCGATAAGAGGTTTTTTATGAAACCTCAGTGTTTCCAAAGAAAGACAAGTACAAGAAGTTTTGAGATGCAGCTTCAGTCCAAATCTAATAACCAGGATGTCAACAAAGATCTGCAGTTTTAAGCGAAGAAAACTCCAGAGGGCCAGAAGCCTTGTGAAAGTAGGGTTTATGGAGCTGACAGATACTGGAACACTCCTTGAGTGGTGGTATGAGGAAAGCCACCATAAAAGTGAAGGTTGAATGTAGCTTTTGATATTTCCTTTCCTTCTATATAGGAGCTATGAGGAATAGTTCAGTGGCTTGTAGTAGCAATGGCAATGGGAGGATGGTTGGACTAGATGATCTTGTAGGTCCTTTCCAACCTCGCGATTCTATGATTCTTAAGAATCTACATGCTATAAATGGCGTAATCATTAATGTTCTGTCTAATGGGAGAATTTGAGTCATTTACTGCTATTTACACTGTGAACTGAGCAGACTGCTGGACTGGTTCTCTCCTCAGAAACAAGCAGCTCAACACAAAACAAGTGATACAACATTGATACAACAAATTACACATTAAACGTTACTCTGTAGAGCAAAGCCAACAGAAAGAATATAGCTAGAGTCATCTAACTAGGGTTAACATCAGTAGAAATAAAAGCACAGTGAACAGGTTCAATCTTCCTGTGTATAAGTCACTAAAATTTTGCACCTTTCAGTTGTAAGACACATCTTTGAATCTGTCAGAGTAATTACAATGTTTCAAAATCAATAGTATGCAATGAGTAAAAGCTGACAAGCTTTGCTGAGTCTAAATTTAGAAGAAATGCAAAGGTATGATAACAAGTCTTATGATAGTATAGGCTGCCTTTCTTGATTTCACTTAGGGTTATTTTCCTTATGATAGCTGGTCACTTAGTTTCTGCTGGATGCTTATCTGAGATAATTCAGATAGATAAACCTTAGCAGGGTTTTTTTGTTTTGTTTTGTTTTTTTTTTTTCTTCATCGTTAATCATCACTTTCTTGTCTGCAGCATATTTTTGGATGATTCCATTTTCTTCAGAGTTGGTGGTGATATCAGTACTTCTGTGATTCTATTTAACTTGGAAAGTGAAAACTTGCTTTAGAGCATAAAATTTCTGTTTCCTAAAACCAAGCATTAGGATAGCTGCCCGCTCAGGAGAGAGCACTAATGATAGGCAAAGTGCTGCCAAAAAGACTGTTGATATTCCCTGTATTCCAAGCAAGAAATGATTCCTGCCTAGTTGGTATTCAAGAAAAAAATGTAATGAACTTAAGGCACTTAAGGCACAATTTGATTTATATTGTTGCAAGGTCAGAAAAAAGTGCCATTAAAATTACATGGCTCATTAAACTTTTTTAAACTGTTATTTCAGCAGGGTTCCTTTAATACCACAAATGGAATTCACAGCTGTTAATCTAGTTTAGAGTAGGCATTGCAATGAATACTTTCTGTTAGAAAAAGCAAGCAATAGTGACACTTGGAATTTTGGAAGGGAGTCCTCACAGAATGAGAAGATGCAAAATGAATTGTTTCTTTTTAGTAAGATGCAAGGTCAGCAGTCTGTCTTTACTTGATCCCTGTGATTCAACTCTTTCATCTCTATACCTCTACAAATGTTGTCACTTTCTTTTTAAAAATTACTTCAATTTGTTGATTTGGGCTTGTAAGTATTTTCTCATTTACTATATTGGAAAAAGCTTTGTTCTAGAATGATAATTGATGGGAGATGTCTTTGTATATATATATATATCCTAGTCTTCTCTGAAATCTTCTGCATCCCTTTCTCTGCAGTAATATCCCCAGCTTCTTGCTGGGCTAATCTCTGACTTTAAGGGGTTTTAATTCAGAGGAAGTAGTTTTCATGTAGTTTTGTGTTTCTGACCTTTTACAAAGTACTGGCTGCAAGTGAGGAAGAACAGTTCTCCAGTCAACCTCCCTGGGGCTCTAGAGAACAGAGATCCATATTTGGATCTATTTCAAACTCTGGTTGTCTCTTTGCCTTAGTAGAGAGAAGCTATTTCTTTTCTTTTTTTCTTGTTTTTGTTTGTTTCATATTGCATGTCTTTTTGGCATTACTGCATATTAGCAGTAAGTGATATGCTCAGCACATTTGTGACATGATGTCAGATGAGATCTCTAGAATATTTTGTCATACACATTAAGACGTCATTAACTTCAAATGTTGCAGTGCTAGATTCATTTCTACTACCTGAGTCTAACTGTAGGCTTTGAGCTAGTTACTCACAAAATCACTGCTAATATTCTGAAAGCTCAGTGGGCAGTATGGTTTTGAGTGGGCTTAGCATTTCAGCTTTACATGCGTCTGGAGAACTCTGGGAAATAGTAATGCAGTGTGCAAGCAGAAATAATCTGATGAAAACCTGAGAACCTGACTTACCAAACTCCTTTTTGAATGACAAACCATTAGTGTTATGTGCAATTGCTTCTTGCTAAATTTACCCAGAGAGCAAATCAGTTATGCACATTAATTTAAACAGTCAATGTCTTAGAGTCGATTCTGATCTTTGCACAAAGTGAATTAGATTTGTTGTTTTCTACTCTTTTTCTGACATCCAATATATGCAAGTCATCCCATTTTTTTTTAAGATTCTTACAGTTTTATTTTAATAACAAAAAAACTAACCATTTCTAAGAAATAAAACACCATGTGATAACAAGAATGCTTATTCCACTCCCCCAGAGCCTGGAATGTCTCTCCCTTTCCCTCTTTGCTCCTATAAGCAATTTGAACACTTGAAGTTCTGACACTGACAGTAGCTTACCCTTTGATCTAAAACTTGTCATTGCAATTCCGTTTGCTAGGAACAGAGATGCTGACAGTCACCGAAGCACACTTCTAGAAGTGTCTCATTTTTTTTTACTACAGTGAATTTCACTAAGCTTATCAGTCAGGTGCAGAATGCCCACATTTTAACCAGCTTGTCTTTCCGTGATCTGAGCAAGTTTGTAATGACACGAAAACACATTTCAGAGTTCTATAGTTATAGATACCCATTATGATATGTCACATGTGCCAGTCCCACAAACAACTGAGAAATGTTCTGTTTTGTGCTACCAGCGTTTTCCTATTACTTAACTCTGGGAGTTTCTGTTGCTG